TCTCTCTCTCTCTCTCTCTCTCTCTCTCTCTCTCTCTCTCTCTCGACGAAGTCACGAACCCTCGAGATTATGCGCCGAGTGTATCTAAATGGAATGTCTCATACTTTTCTGTCCATTTCCATACCATACGCGCGTACCATAACGTACTTACGATCGCTTTACATGTGAACTCCACGCCACGAAATCGATTCCCTAATATTATCGCATGTGGACGATATTGCGAATTCCGGCCGCGCCGCTGGATATTGCGAATTTGATCAACAAAATGAATTACTAGAGTCCAGCTCTGCCAATAACAGAATCCGAATACAATTCGATTTCCGTCGAATGAGGAACCGATTCCTTTTGGTCCCGGCTCCTCTCACGCCCCCATCGACACGTTTGCGAAAAGAGAAGTTTACCCAACGATTCATTTCCTTCTCAATTGTTCCGTTCGTTTTCGAAGGAAAAGGCTCTTCCTTTGATTCGGCCATTTTCTTGTTTCAATGTCGATTGTCGAGGCGATGGGATTGTCTGGGCGAAGCTAAACACCGCTAGATCCCTCGTCTTCGGGTTTATCTTGTCATCTTGACGTTTCGTGATTCACGGGACTTGGCTGAAAGTTAGAACAAATTTAATTAGCGATCCGTCGCTGCGCAATTGTGAGCAACAAGAATAGGGCGAGTTTGTTCTTCCAGTTGAAACACAGTCCTCTTCGTTGCTTTCGCAGTTAGCAGATCCACTTGGAGGATATTTCCAAAGTTCGACGGGGCGGCGGGGCGATATTTGCTTTCATGTAACGGTTGTGAATGAAAAACAAACACTACGATAAGGGAGAACGTGCCGTTCAAACTTCGTTGAGTTTCAACCAAAGGAAATCGTTTCTGTTGTAGCACCAATTGTCGAAACGTAGATTAGCTACCATCAGCGCCAGCGCCGAGAGATATATCGGCACTCAGGGTGGCGGGATGGATCAAGCGATCGTGTTCCTTGGCAAAGCAGGTAATTGTTTCTTCATTTTCCAAGATAGTTCGATAGTTCGATGGTATTATAATAACTTGTTAATACCCGTAAAGGCTCTGCAATGCTAATCGAATTCAACCCCTTGCGTGGTACCGACGTCACGTTACCGGAAACCGCAGTGTTCGTTATAGCGCACAGCCAGGCTTGTCACAATAAAGCTTCCACCACGGATTATAACTTAAGGGTTGCGGAATGCCGATTAGCTGCACAGGTAACACGCCGATTTTTCTACGATTAGTGTTCGTTTAATACTCTCGTTGAACAATTGAACTATTAACCCTTTGCACTCCACTGTCGCCGCACAGGCGACACTGTAAGATAATCTTCTACTCCGTTGTCGCCTTAGCAGCGACATAAAAAAGAAATATTGTTTTTTGAATTTAAATACTTTGTATATTGAGTTTAAATATTCTTTAGTTTTTCTTGGTAGCCTATACTGTTAGTTTGTATAAATAATTGTGTTAAAATTATTATCATTTTC